TCTGGACTCTTTCCTTTTGCTCTTGGTCCTTCAAGCATAAAGAACCAGATCTGTAAATACACCTTTGAATGGAGTCTTGCTCATTCTTCTAGTGAATCAGAAAACAAGGACTGCAATGAAATTCCTGAAACACAAATTCTCCATTCCACCCAGAAGTCCTGGACCATGTAGTCCATGTTGCCATTTCTGTGCCTCACAAGGCGATATTTGCTGTGTACCTGGAGTACATCTTGAGCAGCCTTGCTAAATAATTTGATCAAAAACCCTTACTTCAGAGACTTTGTTTTCATTTGGGTTTATGAGTTTGTACTTCTATACCCCAAGAAAAGACCTTGCTGAGTACATGTAAAGCAAGTTCTCACCAGTACAAACAAGAGGGCATCATAAATATCTGAGATTTCCATCCTTGGTGCAGGAGATGATGCCAGAGAAAGGTTCTGGCAGGAAATAGAAGAAACAAAAATTAGCCAAAGTGCCTATGCTCTTAGGGCTGCTTTGTTTCTTTTGCTCCCTTTGTGTCAGTTAATTTGGGGCAGCTGTTTAGAAGATAGAGCCACTGATGCCTACACCCACCTTGCCTGTGGCCTCTCATATCTGAAGGGCTTTTAGTTCCTTCCTCAGCATTTGTTTCTCATTCTATATCTTTTTCTGTCCGAATTTTTCTACTAGGAAACAATTTTCATATTTTTTGTTTGTTTTTCCGGTACCAGAAATCGAACTCAGGACCCTGGGCTTGCCAGGCAGGCACTGTGCCGCTGAGCTAAATCCCCAGCCCCAATTTTCATATTGTCATTTGTTGGATTTCTCCTAAAATTTTATGTACTAATCCTTAAGGATACAGCTCCTGTGGTAATATAACATTTTAGTTATTGGTATAGCTCTAACTACTAGATAATCAGCAACTCCTATTTTCATATATTTGTCTGTTGCACTCAGGCTATTCTCATGTCCCTTGTCTCAGACCACATCTATAGTTAAGAGAAGAAATACATTCTCTCAAGTATTTACATTTCTGGGAGATTCTTGAAATGGTAACTTCCGTTATATTAAGTTTGGAAGTGCAAATTATTTTCACTCTCTGCTGAGATTATTAAAATAGACATACGGGGTTTCACTTGCCCTTGGATTGGGAGTAATGAGGGTTAAGGGGAGCCATGAGTAACAGGACCAAGTTTTCTGAGCCTGAAAGCAATAAATGCATCTAAATCATTTACTGTTTCCTCTAGAAATGCTCAGAGTTTGCAGGAGGGCCCGAGGACCATGATTCCCTTAAGGACATATAATAGTACAATGAGCATTAGATCCAATGTCTGTGTACCAGATGGGGATGTAGATATTTCAAAGGAAGAGAGAACAAAATAGTGATAATTACCAACAGAGCTATAGTGTGTATCCTAGCATATATCACCGTTCGATACTGGCAAGGATAGAGATTTCCTTTCATTCTTACAGTGCCACATCAGCCACGTGTCAGACAACTTTATGTTCACTCAATATCAGCGAGCTGCCATATCTTTGAACTTGACAGGACCAAGTGGTAAGTTTCAAACAAGAGACTATCAGCAGGAGTGATGTGTCACTTCTCGGCTGTGGCAATTGAAAGCTCCTCTTTGACCTGTCAACTTCTTTTCTTTGTCACTGTGATCACGGAGGTAATGTTTAGACAGATGAGCCACAAGATGAAGTAATTTGATCTCCAAATATGTAGTTTAGAAGGGTCCTGTTAGACCCATAGCAGACATAGTTTTGTATGATAAGCCAGTGGTGTTGCAGGGTTAATTTATCATCATTACAGAGTCTTGTGACTTCTTAATAATATAGTTCCCTGAACTTGTACCTCTGAGAAGTAGTAATGAGGAAAAGCAGCAAAGGGCTGAATATACTCCAACCTGACTTGGAGAAAAGCCTTAGTCAGTTTGTTTTCCACTCTTTGGTTATCTGGAGCCAGAAAAGGCACTAAGTTTTCTTATAGAATAATATAAAAATATCTGAATTTAGATATGTGAGGAAAAGTTGTAACTGCTACATTGATACTAATCTTGTAACTACAATACCATAAAGGATATAATATTTTAATGTTAAGTGGATTTATGTCCTAGCTTTGCCACTTTTTGTACGAATTGGTTAAGATTTTCTAAAACTTTCCAAATTTATGAAAGAGTACCTAACTATGAAGGTTATAGCAAGCTGGGGTATAAAAGGTTTTTAACAGAGAGCAAACATATAGAAAGCATTCAATCAATAACTGTTGCCATCCAATCAAGATTGTCATGGTCGTGGTGGCTGGAGACCCACACAACCATGATAGTTTGATGCTAATGACAAGATGATTCCAAAAGTCCCTCAATATATGGAAGCAGATGACATAAAATATGATACTGAAGATAATGGGAATGAGATATTAAGATTGGATCTTCAGGTTATTTTGTGATATGTATGCGTCCCATGCAGCAGGAATCAGTGAACAATTATAGGATGTCTTTAATGTTTAGAAACGATGATATTGTTTGTCAGAGGCAGAAATCTTTGATTATATTATTTTGCAGAAGTCACTATCTTGGAAAGGGGAAGTAGAAATAAGTCAAGCAGATTTGAAGATGAGTACTTTTCTTTTAAAAATCTATGGGTGACTTATAAGAGCACGTATGCCAATATTCACATGTCTCCTGAGTACCATTTGGTTTAACAGTCTTCTGATTGCTATCTTGTGGTGAACTGTTCTGTTTATAGCTTTAAAATTGCTATCTTGGTGACAGTCTTCTGTTTCTAATCTCGTGATGGCTGTCTAGTGCTTTAGCTCCCTGTGGTTCTCAATACGGCTTGATAATTCTGTGGAGGGAAATACAATTAGCTAACTACACACCTGCTCAGCATACAGTTTTACGAGAGTAACTTGCAGTGTGATATATGTCTCAGGTGGTGGGAGAGCATGAAAACAGAAATTTTGGAAGAGGTTTGCAATATTGAGTGAGATACATCTTTACATATCTATATAATAGATACTTTCTTGATATTCTGTATCGATGTGCATATATATATATAAATATAATTAAACATGTGCAAGTTTCAGGATATTAGAGAGTAAGGCAGAAGAGAGTAGCTTGAATTTTGACCTTCACTTTAGCACCTAACTTCTAATGTATCTCACAGCTTCCCCAAGAATTTCCCTCCTCCCATTCTCATTTGAGGTGAAGGTTTGGTCCTGTGTCAGTTCCAGATCCTACGCTGTTTCAGAAGTTTTCAGTGACCATTTAACATGCAGTAAACCCTAGAAAATGTATCAGCTTCTTTTTAATTTGAGCACTTTATATAAGGTAGAAGTAAGTGTAAAATTTTGTAACATTCATATGTGAAATAGGAAAATGTGCCTTTATCAAGCAGATTTATGATACTCTACTCAATCAGCAGGCTCTTTATGTGTTTTAAAAGCTTTGTACTTACAATTACATTGCCTCTCTCTCTCTCTCCTTCTCCACCCCCGTCTCTCAACCAGGTCTCACTATGTTGCCTAGATTGCTTTTGAATTTGCTCAAGCACTCCTGTCTCAGCTCCTTGAGGGCCTAGGACTATAGGCATGTGCCACCAAGCTCAGCTACATTTATCTTTGTTAAACAAAAATAACCTGATTCTTCATTACAAATAAGTTTCTTCCATGAACTATAAGGAGGTAGAACAAAGTGTTTACTTGTATCAGAAGAGCAGTAATAAATGTACTAATGCAGACTTGCAGTCCTGAAATGGCCATTGCTTCAGCATAGCATGATCCTATTAGAATGAGGTTCTTTTGCAGAGAGAGAAAAACAGCAGTGGTTAAGAAAGTACAGAAAAGAAATATACCTAAGCCACAGGATGCAGTGTTGAGGGTAACACCACATAAAAAAGCGTACATCAATCTAGTCTTTAGTTGTATTTTCTTCCCATGGATGATCAGGACCATTCCAATAACATATATCTCAAAAGGGTATAGAAAACCAAATGATCTACACATGCAAAATAAGTTTCAAAGGACATGTCATTGACATATAACTCCTATAAAGCCTCATGGTGCCCTCAGAAATTGCACTTGTACCTTAAAGCACTGAGAACACAAATTATTTCTCCCTTTTTCTCAGTCCATCAGTGTCTTTAAAAGTCAACTGCCCTGAACACTCTACACACAATATCTCACCCTGAACTTTATGAAACAAGAACAATTAGGAATGAAAATTTAACATATCCAGGGGAGAGTCAGTGTGTATGTTCTCTGCAAGCAGCAGGAGGTATCATCAGCAGGATAAAGTTTTATAAATGAACAGATTTAAGGGAACTTACACAATATATTATGTTGAAAATGTGCTTTTTGTCCATAGAATGAGTTGACGGTATATGTAATCAAGTAACAGTAGTACTTTGAAAGACTAGTATGCTTTCTGACAAAAAATTGTTAGAATTTTAAAATCCTTACTTTGGACCCCTGAAGGAGGAATATATAAAACTCAGAACAGTTGCAATAAAACATTTCAAGAGGGTTTTGTTCATGTTACCAAAGTCTCTGAAATCTCTACCACTGTTCCATGGTCTTAAGTCTTTAGTTAATTGAATGACTAGGTCTCAAGCCCCTCTCCCACTGTACGTATTATGTTAACATTTGACGTTCTCTACAAAAAATGATTTTTCCATGAAACATTTTTGTAAACTGCAATGTCAGGAGAAAAATATTAATGTTATGTGGATCCAACCTACAAAATGTTTTATAATTATTTTATTCCTAACAAAACAAATCAACCACAGTTAATTAAGCAGAGTCTGCACAGATGAGTAAGTCTGTACACATCAAGAGGCATATGCCCTGGCTGCTGAAACACATGAAATGCATTACAAACAACTAAGAGGTTCTGCAGAATAATTAATTGTATCCATCTAAGCCCACTTTCACATCTTCAGATAACCAAGTCCTGCACAAACCTTCCCCTTCTCCAACTGTATTTTTCTTTAACAAATTTCTGACACAGAAGAAAGCATCTGTTTCATATTTTATTGAATTTCATTTATATTAAATTAAAAATATATTTCTGACAGATTCATGTAACAAAAAGGCAGAACAGTTTTCAAATTGTTCAGCTGGGATGATCAGTATGGAATGAGGCAAAGCAGTTCGCATTCTATAATTGCCTTGTACAGGTACAATTCTTTCCCAAGAGCCAAAACAGGATCCTTGAGAATTAACCAAAGAGCCTAATTATGTAAATTTAAAATACTGTTTCTCCCTCATTCTCAAATAACACAGAAACTGGGGGTAGGAAAGAGAATGGGGTGAAGGGTTGGAGAAAAATGAATAAGGGAAATTATACTAAAAATATACCTAACATTAAAAAAGTTAGTATGTGTTAAGTGCATAATCCTTCATAGATAAAATAGAAAAAAATAAAATAACATTACACCACACACAATTGGCATATCCTATTGTGTAAGCGAGTGCAGAGGTTGGACACATCACAATAGTGCTAAACACAGAATCACAAGTAATGTCAAAATGATAACTTCCAACCAAAAAGAAACAATCACAAGCCAATTACTTATATACAAATCAACCCTAGAGACAATTATATTCCAAATAAAGATGTCCACGAAAGAAAATCAAAGCAACATTATCCTTATTTACAAATGCAACTAGCCATGTCTTTAACGAGCTATAAAAATACTATTCACATTTTCAAACATACAGTAGTATTTTTGTTTGTATATTTCAAAAAGGCAGCTAACTTTGAATGCTGGGACTTAAATGAAACATTGATGGCTTACCAGCAAGTTATTTTTGCACCCCTATCCTTTGAAGATACTTCACGAGAGAGAGGCTTGTTTTCTGTTTACAAGGTAAGAACATAAGGAAGTGAACACAGCTCTGCTTTTTGGGTAAAGTTTCTCCCTTTGTCACCTAAGCAGATCTTAGTCAACTGCTTTGTTGCATGCATGAGATGATTGTTTGAGGGAAGATTTCATGTGACATGTTTTACTTGTGCTGTGATTTGTCTTGCACATTGATTTTCTTATAATGATGCTCAAGAAAGGTATGAAGCACTAGTCAAAGCATGTGAGAATGCAGTTTCAACATGCAGCAGTGCAATCCCTGTTGCTCACGATACGAGATGGAGACACCCTGGCCAGTGAGATGTGCATTCAAAGTTAGCTGCCCTCACACAGCTGCTCAGTTTAATAATCGACCCATTTAACAGCAGTACCAGTTTATGCTACATATTTCAAAGTACCTTACTTTAAAACAACAGCTTACATATCTACATTTAGAAAATAACTTTTGTAGTTTGATTACGGGAGTAATTCCTAACGGGTTCTTGGAGTGCTATGGTTGTAGTCCCCTCACTCCCCCTCCCAGCCCCTGAGAGATCCAGAAATATACAGGAAAAATAACTGTCACATTAAGGGAAAAGGTACAACCCCTCCATGAACTGAAATATCTGGAAATGATGTTTGAAAATCATATTTATGTCAATATCTAGGTGGTATGGTTTATTTTCCTTCAAAAGGGCTACAGACCTGGGGGAAACTTCTATACATCAGGGGTAAAAATAGCAGTAAAGGCAAAGTGCTTTAGACAAGTTAGACTATTGCCTGCAGTTATGAAGCTTTGTTTTTCTATATTTGTATATTTGTACAAATATAACACTCTCATGATATGGGGGAAACTCCCTGGAGTATTAAAAAGAAAAACATCCTTGAAGAGCTCAAGGAGAGAAAGGATGGTATTCTATTAGATAACATATATTTGCATTAAGGTGAAACTTCACTCATTATATGTTTGTTAGATGGATGTATAATCCATAAAAAAATTGCAGGAGGTTCTCAAAGCTGAATAGCCTTTACTGCTATGATAAGACTCCTCATTCAGAAAATAAAATACAGCAGCTATAAAATATTTGCACTGAGGAATTACATAAAATGAATAAAGTAAATAAGTTAATTTGCAGGCAAAAACTAACTCCTTAGTTATGGACATAGTTTGTAAGGAAAGACTAAATCCAAGACCTAGAAGAACATATGCACACACACGAGCTTCAAGAGTCATCACGGGGCTCCCTCATCTCAAATTCCTATAGCGGAGGACGTATAAGAGAATCGATCTTCATGGCGACTGAACTTTAACACACAGATGTGTTCTCTGCACAGCAGTTTCTCTGAGAAGTTACTTAAACAATATCCAAATTGATAGGCTCTTTTATGGAAAAATTAGACGTTCGAGGGCAAAATCCAAATCAGTATTTCACAGAGCAGAGTGTGGGACCACAGAGATCCACTATGGCTTAAGAGAGAGATGATGCCAGGAGAGCCACTTTGAACTATGGTGGTAGAAAATGAAAAGCCTGGGGAACATTGTGCCAACGAGAAAAAAGCAAGGTTGCTATTTTCCTCTAAATTTCAGGGAAAATAAAGTTTTCTGTGATTCTTAACAAAGTATCTCTTACTTGGAAAGGTGAGTGTTTTCCACAGGAGGCAGTTCAAAACCCCATGAAATTGGGGCTTACCGTCTTTTCACCATGAGATTCTAGAAGCTATTCCTTCTGCCCAAAGTATCACTTTGCTGGGAGCGGAATGAGGCAGGGGTCTGCAAGAGTGACACATTCTACATTTTTGCCCCTCTACAAAGTCAGTGGTTATTGAAAAGAATGTTTGGAATTTCTACTGTTTTAGAGTACTTTATTTAAATGAAAAGAAAGAAGCCCATGGTGTTAGATCTATCCAAGTAAACACGAAGGCTCCTGGTCAAATGTGATGCTTGCAAGAGTTGCACGTTCGTGATAATAAGGAGAACTGTTTTTGCAAAGGCATCTCTGGGTTGAGAAAATTTGTGTTAATTCTATTTGGAAGTATAAAACCTGGACCTGTTGTAATATTAGTGAGAAATAGGTGTCCACTGATAGTGATCTTTTAAAATTATCATACCTATATCTGTATAATGTTATTTATTTTTAAGCAAATGGTAAGTAGGAGACATAGTCTGCCCTTCTGTGTCTACCTGGGAACAAGGCTGTGCTACAACATTGTCCACATATGCAGAGACCCACTAGGATTTTCTGTTAGCAATCTATACTGTACAGCGTGGCTTCTCTGGTTTTTTAACAAGTAGAAGTTTATCCACCTGATATTCTCACATGTCCCATGGCATATCATCAGTCTAAAAACTAAAGTCTGAAAGAATGCTCAATTTAGCATATATTTATCAGAAAAATTTTAACGAATTCTTTGTTGGTTTTCGAGGCAACAGAGTATGATGGGAAAAGAAATGATAAGTCACAAATTAAATATATTTTGTTTGCTTTCTAAATAATGCCACTTGTTGTGTTTTTGTCTCTGCATAAGGTAATAGAACTATTTCATTTCCTTTGCTTTGTTTTTAAGACCTCTTATTTAATGTTACATGTAACATATTTGCCTGTTAAAAGCTACAAGATGGTATTTACAAAACAAACTAAAATATAGAAGAAAATTCTCCTTGCACTTAATACATTTAGAAAATGATAAAGGAATAAGAGGATAAGAAAAATTTTAACTGTGGAGCTTTAAAGCAAGTTTTCACAATTGAAGCTACATATGCCTACGCTCAGCTAAACCGAGCAAATAACAATTTTAAATGGCAAACTTAAATATATATATGTCTTTTTCAACTAGGCAAAATCCAACCTACATTTTCATAGCTTGAATTTTATTTTGTTACATATACTTTATGGTTAGTTTCCTAACTTGATTTATTTAATAATATTAAAATCATTTAACACCCGATAACCTAACTAAATCTACATCTTACAACATTATCATGGTTCTGTCCACTTATATACATGCTTTCATAATCACCTTTTCCATTACCTTATGGGCTACATATACTATTTAAATAATCAACACAGATGGATGAATAATTCAAGTTTTTAAAGAAAGGTTAGCTAGCTCTAAAAAAACACCCCTTGTATTTACATCCTTCCCTGTCCGGTTGAAACTATTTAAATTTTCTTTTCCTATTTGACACTTCAGGAAGCACACTGATCTGTCCCTCCAACTTAGCATCTAGCAGCTCAGCCTTACAGTGTTTTGACTCTCTTTCCTTAGTACCAGAAATATGTGCAATCCTCGTACCATGTCCTTCCTTCAGAAGGAATTGGCACACGTATTAATCATAACACGCGGAAAAACACTATTTCTTTCTACAAGTTGTAGTTAGTCTTTTTTCCTGATTCCTGAAGAAAATCTTATTTTTAGTTAATGCATTCTAAGGGAGTTTAAATTATGCATTATTTTTCATGCTATTTCAAGAACGTTTCTGGAGAAAGACTCTTTTCCTAACCCGTACTGCTAATACTATTCAAAAAGCCAAGAGCTTATGCTTCTCAAGTTTACATACTTGATTCTACATATTTCCATCGATATCATGGATGTCTGTGTTGTGATATTGCAGTGCACTGTGCAAACTTCAACTGGTATTTTTAAATCTTAGTTGTCTGGATAAATAAATTATTGTCTAGAGCAAAGGAAAATATTTATTTTTCTTTCTCTTATGCACTCTCAAGTATATTTCTGGGCATAAAAGTAAAACAAAGAAGAAAATTCCAAACAACTGAAATCAAATATATATTATAGAAATAATTCAAAATGAATGACAAAGTGGTACTGCTGAGAAGCATTTTGGGGGATTTTAAGTTATATTTGCATCAATCCGTAGGTTTTAGAGGAAGATTACCCAATGTAGATGTTTTGGTTTTAGAGGAAACAGACTATATTCATTAAATAGATGTCTATTACATTAACAGTTAAAATAATATCTTTTTCCTTTACCAAGTTAAGTAACTTTGCTTTCTAATGTCAGTAGAAACCATATGATTATTATCAATGTAGAGACAAAGTCAAGTTATAGTATCCAAACAAATGTCATTGAAAGCTTGAGGCAGATTAATGTAGTCTAGAACGAGAGGCTGATGTTCAATTCTTCATAAGTGCAGATATAAGGTCTCCTTTTCCTTGAGACTGCTCCAAATGAGTGAGAGAGCTGTCGGCTATTAGATGGTGGCCCCTGAGTCATTCTAAGTCTTTATCCCCGGGAAGTTAGTGACTGAACTTGAACATAAGGGATCTCACAAACTCCTCTCCTCCTTCAACTCATTCTTTCAGCTTGCTGCACGTCTCCTAGCATAAGAAGAGACCAATACCAACACCTCCAAGGGTCATCATAGGCTGTCAAGTTAAAGGTAAAGTTGCTACCTAGGTGGGTAAATTAGCCAGTGGTGCAATGCCCTGGTCGAATTGTTTGTGCTTGAATGGAAACATTGCAACAATTCAGTTTGTCCACTTCAGTTGTTTGAACGATGTTTAAATCATTTCCCAAATGAGTTTACAGGATATGCTTTACTAAAAACCTGAATTTGTAAAGTTACTCAAGAAGTGGTCCATATAATCTAATTCCTTGAACTCACAGAGAAATTACAATGTCATTTTATATAAGCCTCCTAGACTATAAAATTTTGTAGTAAGGGATAATATTCTACTCATTTGGCTACCCCTTCTTTAACACAGTGCTTGTAGTAGATTCTAAGTAAATATCAGTTGGATCACTCAGGTTTGGGTTGGTGGACAGATTTATGATTTTCAAAATAGGTCAAAATATAGATTTCTTTGTATTTATTCCCTTTAAGCTCTCTCCAAATAAGTAATAGAGATTTTTATTATAATTGGTTCCCTTGAGGTTGTTGTTACTTATTTGCTCCAAATGTGTTAACACCAGAAAGAAATAACTTTTAAAAATTTAAATGACTCGAAGCAGAATTTTGTGGAAATGAGAGATATTTTCTTAATTACTAACATAAGGTTTTGTTTTCCTGGAGTCTCAGTTCTTATCACTCATCTTAACTGAGTAGGTACTCTTGAAAACCAAATAAAGATGGTTCTAGACCTCAGATGCAGTATATGAAGAAAAAGAATTATGATGTAAAGTATCAAAAGATTAATATTTTTGGGTAATCAAATTATTGCATGAGATGATTTTTCATATTTATTTATAAATTTTGACCCAAGGTCTTACCCATAAACTGTGAATGTCTGTTTTTAAATTTATTATACCAATTTATGTGGGAAGAGTTACCTTCTACTCAATATAAATAAAGTCTCATATTAGAAATTCCATAGATTTCAAGCCAATCCTTAACTTGCATTCCTTCATATGAAGCATATAAACTGAACAAATTTCTTTATGTAGCAAATGTGATCTTATGTGTAGATAATGTGCTGGCTCTCTCACCATAATCCCTGGATACTGTTCCAAAGTCCTAATTGGGTTGGCATTTTCACAGTCTGTCTTTATCTTATCCTTCAAAAAATGTACTTAATTAATTTGCTGGTTGCTTCCATATTGCTTCATTCAAAATCCAAAATGGTGTCCAGAAAAAGAAGAAATAAAATTATAGCTTAAGTGCAAACTACATTTCTGAATGCCTGGTAGGTAGACATACCCAATCCAGTGTGTTTCTTCCAGTTTGTGGATTTCCCCATTTGACCACCCCGAATGTGTCAGTAGTTTTCTTAAACCACACAGGATTGCCCCTTAGCTTCTCTTCTACTCTTAAAATTACCAACTGCCAATCAAGTACTGTCATTTAAGGAGGAGAAGAAAATGTTAAAGAATATAAAGGGTGGGGGGACATGTATGCAACAGTGTGAACATGAAAGCTAAAGTTGATGCTGCATTTGACTAGCATCTTGGCCTTTCCCTCAAATTTTTAAGACTGTTTTTAAAATAGTGGCTTTTTCATTTTATTAAATTTTTTGTTTAAACTGTGTCAAGAAGCTTTGATGCACATATCTTCACAATTAGAAATAAAACCCAAAATAGAGGAAAAACTAATATAAAAGAATAAGCCAGAGCAAATAAAAAGATTTGTTTTGAAGCACAAAGCCTTCTAAACATAATGACTAGATATAAATTTGATGGAGATTTGAAAATAGTAAAAGCTGGGTTGGCCATTTTTACTTGCCAGGATAAAAAATGTAGGAGAAAGAAATGGGATTCTCAGTCTCAGTCGCTATCATCTTATTGAAATGGCTATTTTTTTTGTTCTAATGGAAACAAGATTTCCAGGGACACTGAATATGCACACATCGATTACTGTAGATAGGAACAGACAGCATGAGTATTTCATCCATCTGTACTTAAAAGTAAGTGAAGGAAGGAAGCAAGAGAAGGAGAAAAGAGGAAGCAAGGAAGGAAGGAAGAAGGAAGGGAGGGAGAGAAGAAGGAAGGAAGGTAGATTAGTTGGCTGCAAACCAGTTTGACAGTAGGCAGTATTATCTGATATTTTTTGATCTTTCTCTGGCTGTAACCCTCTCCTGAGCAACCCATGTAGAGAACAGAAGAAACAGTGTGGTTCCTCATGTCTTTCTCTTTCTGTCATTCCTTCTGATGTTCAAGTTAGATAAGCACATAATTATCATTGCATCTCTATGTCTTCCATGGGGAAGTGTCAAAACTACTGGCCTTGGGGGCAGAAAGAAGATCACCAGAGAAAAAGAGGGGGTGGGGAAATGGAGCGGGTGTGTCTCTCCACCTTCAAACTACTGCTGAGCTTACACCACAGTATTCCGGTGTCTGTAGGGTGGAGGAGGCAGCACAGTGCCTGGCTTCAGTGAGAACTCAGAGAGGTATTCAGGATTCTCTGCCACTATAGGCCGGATCCGTCCATTCTGTTTATAAAAATATTTTGTGCTGTACTCCTGCAGGTAGTCTGGGTGCTGGAGGGTGCTCCGAGGTGGCAGGCTGTGGTTCCAGTAGTCAGGGTTGTCAAACGCTTTTTTGGCCTTCTCTGGCACAGACAGTACACTGTTCTTCAGATACTCGGCATTCCCCAAGGTGTTGGCAAAGGTGTTGAGGTACAGTGGCTCATTCACATACTCATCCTCTGCCTTGGGTGGACCATTGGAAGCATTGTGGTACTCAGGATTATCCAAAGCTTGAAGGTCTCCATTTTTTCTCCGAGAAACAAAAGGGTTTTCCTCCACAGGATTCAGGTATTCTGAAGGAATAAAAAAAATATACAATAACATCTACTTTTCAAAAAATGCTAATCAGACCAAGATAATATGCCATGGTTGGCATCTTTGTCTAGAACTAGAAAGTCACAGATTTGTTTTGGTGACTTCTCAGCAAAATGCCTTGTACACTGTCACCGGCATATGACAAAAGAAGCAAGTGGGCCAAAAATATTACCGATAGAACAAAGCACTGACAAGGTCAGGATCAGAATTCTCGTCCTATAACTTGTTCTTTTTTATCACATTTGTCTGCCTTGCATGTGGTTTTTGTTTTTCAGAAGTCAATAATTTATAATAGAAATTAAGACTACCCAGGTTAGGGGCTGGGGATTTAGCTCAGTGGCACAGCACCTGCCTGGCATGCGCAAGGTCGTGAGTTCGGTTCCCGGTACCAGAGAAAAACCAAAAAAAAAAAAAAAAGACTACCCGGGTTAAATATCCATTCCATGTTGATGAATTTCAATTTTTATAGACTTTTTAAAAATCCAATGATTTATGCCAAGAGAACTGGATGAAGGAAAAAAAATAGTGTTTTTAATTTATTTGGCTTGCCATAAAGGCTTGTACCACTGGTAACAAGAATTTGATTAAAACTCCCCAGGAAGCTTTTACACAGAGGAAAGGAATCATCTAAGGAAAAACATTAACTAATAGAACAAATCTGATGGACACTGCCATGGCTCTCGTTGAGTTGTGTGGTGTTACACAGGCACTTGCTTAACAACAAAACATCATTAAAGCGTTTATTCTCATTGTCCAAACATAACGACAAAGGAGCAAACCACTGGTTTGAATTATACAAAATACTTATTTTGTAAGATAGAACCAGTTGGTGCCTATTTTGTACGGTTCAGTCTAACAAATCCACCTGGAGTATCGGTATTAGCCTGAGATAAAAAAGTAATAATAATAAGGCTGGTAACCAATGCTGCTGTTCTCAAACTTAATTCCACCTCCTGTAACACATATATGCATATATGTATTAAACTCTCTTTGTCCACCTTTTATATATATTAAACTCTGGTAGAAACTTCCTTCCTTTCTTCTTCCTCTTCTTTTTTCTCCCATCCCAGTTGTTCTTTTCTTTTGAGCAGTTCCTCTCCCTTTCACAATATCTATTGCACATTTTAATTTGAAAAAAATAAATTTGAAAGAACTTATAAGGGAGACATAATTTAATTTTTTACCAGATTCTTGAAACTTTTAAATTTAAATGTAGGAATGTCTATACTAAAATTCATTACTACAAGGACAAGGCTAGAACATAGCCCCCTCTCTAGGTATCTGGTTCTCAGTTTTCAGAGATGAAATCTGAGAATATATTGAGTCCATATGATCTGATTTGTTTTGCTCTGATAAGTCTTATTTTACCTCTTCTCAACACTGACGATCCCATTCTTATATTACCTATTTTATTTTCTCGATGTGGTCTTGCAAAGTTACCCAGGCTGACAGTAGAACTCTTGATCCTTCTGCCCCAGCCTACTGATTAGATAGGATTGCAGGTGTGTGCCACCCTGCCCTGCTTCACAATTTCCATGCTCTCTCTGCCCATGCAGGGAACATTTCTGAACGTCTGGCTTGTACCTTGTTTGGGTTTGTCTCGCATAGGAGTCATGTAGCCTTCTTCATCCAGCTCTGCTCTGGGGCTCCGTTCAGGGGCAAACACTGTGGGATCAGCGCTGTACCGCTGGGTGCTGCTGTCCTCTTGGGTGTGGGGTGCCGCTGGTTTGCGTAAGGTGCCGTTACAGCAGGAGTCATCAAAAATCTCAGCAGCTGCCCCTTGAGCACCTGGCGCTTCTGGGATGGTGCTGGTCGTGGCTCTGTACGGCACGGGCATGCCTTGTTCTGCGGAGAACCCTCCATCTCGGTAAACAAACTGGTTCTGTTAACAGCGGAAACATATTTGGAAAGAAATTCTTGTTAGGAATAATAGTATTCCTAAAGCTATATTCCTTAACTATGAACTAAAAAGATATAAAATCTTGCTTTTCAGAGAAAAAAATCATAGTATTGTATTTATTAATTTTTTTCCTACTGGCTAATGAAATTGAGTTAGGCTAGAAACATTTAACCTTTTATGATTTTTATTGGAAAGTAAATCACAGGAAAATGATGTAGATGCATATTTAAACATTTTTACTAATGAAGTAAAATATGATCAAATAGAAAAATATTTTATGTCCTTTTCCCACAATAGTCTATATATTGTATATAAAATTCAAAGTAAGCTTTCATGATAAATGGCATGAAGGTAGAAGGTACACTGACATTATTCCTGGTGATATTTCCTTATTGATTTCTATTCTGCGGCTTCTATGACTTTGAACCTCCAGTACCTAACTAAAGAATCAGTGAGTTTTGACGTTTTAGCATATGGCCTAGAATCATGGAAGTAAAGATAACCTCCTCATCTTGAAGCATAATTTATGAGCCCAGCCCAGGTAAATCCTTCTGATAAAAATTGGAAGCTATTGTTGTATGATATCTCAGCTTTGGATTATCCACTGAGATAAAAGACAGCTACAAGGGCAGCTACACTGCAGAACTTCCTAACTCACTGTTGGCAAAGGCAACATGTGAAACTTGGGAGGAGACAAGAGAGAAGAAACATGGAAAGCAAAGACCAAAAATCCTACTAGGTGAAGGTTGATCATGGAATACTTACTCCTGACATGGGGGTGTAGGCAGGAGGAGGGCTGTGTCCAATTTCACTCTAATAGAAAAGAAAAATGGGATGATGGATATAATAAGAGGCAACATGAATGAAAAATTTAAAACAGAAAAGAAAAGAAAAAGAAAAGGCGTGTGAGTTGTGTGAACCAAAGGGGAAAAACGTGCACAACAGTGAATTTTCCTACACAGTAAAATGTCCGCATTCTGACTCCAAGTGGGTTTACTTATATGTTTGAGGAATTAAATAATTAAATCTCTGACAAGGAAAATTATACTGGATAAATAAGATTTTCAGTGGATTTAAAAACAAAGGACAATGCATGTTCTGATTAACCCTAGGAGAAAGGAAAAAGGTATGAATAACTATAGATGTAATTCAGGGACAGTTCTTTCTTTACAAGTTAAATGGTTTCATACCACAGCATTGACTATCCTTGTAGAAGATGAATGTGTCTAAAAAGAGGTAGAAACGGATTTCAATTTGCCTGAAAGAGTTTTTGTTATTGTTAATTTTTTACCACGTCAGCAAAGGGTCAAATTCTTAGCCTCTAATTATAAAAAAGTGCATAATATTGTACTTTCACTATTTTTTAAAGTTAAGAAACAGGTGAAAACTTGAAAAGTCAGTTACTTTTCTGGAAACATGCTTTACATTTCTTTTATGTACTAAGAATCAGTCAAAAACCAAATTTCAATTTAAAGAAGTAAAGGTGTCTATATTTTTATAGTTTAATAGTCTATCCTTGGGCTAAGTGAAACTAGATATAAAATATGATAAACTATTAAGGACAATATTCCTGAGGTAAAGAAAAGAAATTGTGTGAATACAAACTCTATTTTATAACATAAATACATACAAATATACACACATTTCACTCATTTATATTAAACACATTTATAAGAATCTGTTGTAAGCCAAGTACTCCTCCACTTTTACACACTGTGAATAATGAATAATACAGGTGAAATCAGTTGTTTGTACAAAGCTTGTTTTCTCTATATTTTGATTTTAAGTAAACATAAATGACTAAAACCTCCAAGACACTTACATGTTTTGTATGAAATATGGAAAATATTTTCTCAGGTCAATGTTGATACAATTTATAGATTCATAAAACCATCTATGGAGAATACGGTTCCAGGGAGATGAACGAGTTCATGTAAATCAGTGACAACTGAGTGGTACATTTTCTCATAAAGAATTTAGCTTGTTGGACCAATCAAAGGATAAGTCCAGAACCCTGAGTGTGAGTGTGCATTTTACTTTCCCCAACAGCTGTGATAACCTAAAAAAAAAAAATGCACCTATTTTCTTCTTAATGATACAACTAGCAACATGTTGAAGATTATGTATGACATGGAAGGCTGGAGATATATATTTTTGAAGGCTTTCTTAAACCATTCATTTCTAATTGGTACATAAAATGTTACACATGAAGCAGTACTGTGAGGTTTTGATACAGGTATACATTATATGATGTTTAACTTAAGTGAAGCCTACTTATCCTCAAACATTTATCATTTCCTTATTGTGAAAGTATCCAAAGTCCGTTCTAGTTTTTTTGAGGTAACAGCATACTACTGTTATCTACATTTACCCCGCTGTACACTAGCACACCAGAAACTATTGTTCCTCTGAAACCATAGTTTAGTCCGGGTGATCAACCTTTCCTATTCCACCCATTCTTCCTGCCTCCCGCAAGGTCTCCACAGTCACTTTGCTAACTACCATTCTATGCTCAGCTTCTATGAGTTCAGTTCTTTAGGACTCATACAGCAGTGGGATCACACTAGCTTGTTTGGCTTATTTTAATGAACAATATCTCTATTTCTACCTTTGCTGTTTCAAATGATAGGATTTCATCCTTTCTTATGACCCAATAGTATTCTTTTGTGAATGTATACCTCATTTTCTTTATCCATCTATCCATTGATAAGCAGGTAGGATGTTTCTAGAGATATATTTAATATGCAATGCATAGGAATTGTTATTACACTAAACACAGATTGTCCCCAAAGAGTTAAAGGCATCATATTCAGTGATATATGCTTATCCATGTTTATAACAGCATAAGTCATAATACCTAAACCTCGGAACAAGCCTATATGTCCATCATCTGTATAGATAAAGAAAATGTGGTGTTCACACATAATAGAGTATTACTTTACTAAAGAAATACAAACTTTAGTCAATCACAGAAAAATGGATGCACCTTTGGGCCATCATGTTAAGTAAAATAAATCAGTCACACAAGTTTAACTATCAACTATTTTCTCTTACATGAGAAACCAAAAATATAAATAAACAGTAAAATAAAAGATGGATAATAGAAAGTAGGGAGATAGATGTTTCTCAAATAAGAAAAGAAAAAAAGAAATGGAGTGGAGGGAAAGGAGATGAAAGAGAAATTAAGGTGTGTTGTGTATATGTACCAACTCCACAAAAGGACTATAAATGCTATGTACTGCACACATACTAATAAGAAAAAAAGAAAGAAGTCTAGAGTGTTAGTCCCAATTATAATTACTGTGGTGTGAAGTTTGTCATTTATCAGACAATTCTCATTTTTGGTCTCTCCAATTTATTCTTAGGATGACAAAGTAATTTAAACATTGTAAGCTCTGCACTAGTATGTGAATGAAGATGTATAAAATTTAAATTTTTACATCAGCTAAACTGAAAAAAGTCAAGCAATCAAGATGTCAAAGCTGATTGTCAAAGAGACATTTTTAAATGCTTAGCTGTTCTCTGATCATTTTAAATACTGGCTTATTTTGCTCCTTTAGAAAGAAACAAAATCAAATATTTTTGTTCAAAAAATTTGAAAGAGGGATTTAAAAATGTACTACAATGATCTGTTAAATAGTAGAGGGTTTTCATAAAAGATGACAACTGCCTGTTGGATGGCACTTTATCAATTTACAACACTCGCCTTACCCACATTATCAAACCCCCAATTCACAAGGATTTAACAATTTATTACATCTCAACAATAAAGGGGCAGATATTGTAGTAGATGCTGCAGATATCATGACATACTAGAAGGAACATGGACTTTGGCCTTTTGGAATTTACCCTGTGTTAGCAGATATTACCTGTTAGCACTGGAAGAAAAATCATGTGTAGAATGAGACTGGAGTGAATTTATTTCAAAATTATGATGACACATTAGAAGGCAAGGAGTTCCAAAATATTAGTAATTACCAGGGTTCCTTTGACCTCTTACCTTGCATGAGTTCCTGTACTGGGTAATATTCAACTTGAATTAGAGCTAAGGACCTAGCATTGATTGCACAGTTTGCATTTTATAAAACTTCAGGGATAAAGGATCAAAGGAATAACTCATAAGTCAGTCTTTATCAAGAAGCACTTCATTATATATCTTCATTATCTGGGATAGAATGCTTTCAATTGTAAAGGCATTTTATTAAAAGAATGTATATCTGGCCCTTTTGCAGTCAGCGTGTTCCAAGACACGTAGCAAAGCTCTGCCCTATTAGAATGCATCCACTGTCCCTGCTTTGACAAGGCTTCAGTCAGCAACCTGCCAACCCAGTCTCTGGATGTACTGCCAAATAGCGTCACAGTAATAGAGCATCTTCATGCTTTCCCTTAGTTTCAGCATTAAAATGAAATAAAAAAGCTAAGCAAAACCCTTAGCATTCATTGTTTTTAGGGTTACTGGCTGCTTTTTATGTTTCTATTTCAATTTTTCAGTTTGCATTTTTATCTGTTTTCCATGATAAAAAGCACTTCATTCATTTCCCCCTGGAAGGGCAAGCTGCTCCAAGGGAACATCTGTGAGGCCAATTAGCTGGGCTGGAAATGTGATATAATTGTTGTTTAAATATATTTAAATTACATGTTAATCACTATGTCATAATTTATAGGCTTTGAAAATAACTTTTTGTACTTTGGAGCCGAGCCAGATTTGACTTATTTTTGCTGTTTTTAGTTTACAACAAGCTCGGCTTATGCCTCTCTCCCTCAACGCCCACACTTGAGGAGCTCAACTTTTAATATCAGGAAGAATGACAGCTGCAAGTAAATTGGTTGAGTAAAAATTAAGATCCTCGCCACAGCCAGAATGAGCTGGAGTGACCTTAAAGTTCTGAGCGCAACAAAGCGAGGCTCTCCGTTGAAAGGCTTTTGTTTTTCATTGTGCCACTTTCTGCTGTCCGTCAAAGCCCAGCTTTGTGGATCTTTCTGAAGCAGCCCTGGGTGCATGTATTCAATTAGCTGGTGAGGGGATTTACTGGCAGCAGGACAGAGAAAGAAACAGGTGGGTTAGGCACTGGCAGGTGATATGGAGCTTGCTCCTGGTGGGGGATTTGTAAGGGTGATGGACAGAGTGGAGTTTAATTTTGTGTCCGTATCACTGGAACACTGTATGATTAGTGTGGACTGAAATGCCAGAGGTTTTAGAAAAGGTGAGTAAAATACAGTGTACAATGCACTTTAAAATATATTGTGCCCTAATATTCACATTAGAGTTGAATGATAAATGTTTGAACTTTTGTCTCCTTCCAGGGATGGTATAGGGTATGATATATTTGTATTATTTAATGTTATCCCTGTGAAATTTTAAATGGTCAATCAGATAGATTGTGCTGTGAGATTGTTTTTAAAATTATCATACAAATATATCTTCCTAGGAAACACAAATACTACATGCCTAAATGATTAAAATTTATCTAAATTAAATATGTACTTAATGAGTTTTTTAATCTTCAAGCAATTATTACTCTCAATAATAACTATAGGATAATAATTTCATGGTCAAGGAATACTCTATATTCCTTTAACTAAAACAGAGTGTATCTTTGCTGGACATGGCTAATCCATCAGCACTAATTTATTATCTAGACACCACACCACCGTAACTGTTAAGAGTTCTCAAGCTTGTACCCTCCAGAAACATGTGCTTCACATTCTGATGGGCAGTTTTACATTTTCAGAGGTCAGATAACAGCTTGGATAAAAGGATTTTGCACGATGTAAAATTTGTGGTGCACTGTTCTAACTCTGGAGCTTCCTCC